TAAAACGTTGATGGAAACATGGCTACTGTGCCAAACTCCTGGGAAACTCCTCCCACTGCGGTATATGTCACTTCAGGGGGTTTCTTATCAGGCAACGTGGCGGCGTGCACGGTTGCAGCAGCTCACGGCTCTCCCATTCACTGCTTTTTTGTGTCATTTTTTTCATGTTATTTTTTCACGTGTACTCCGTTGAGTCTGCGAACACTGGTTACGGATGCCAGACCCTTCTGGTCATCAGTGAGCAGCACCAAATACCAGTGACGAGCGACTTCCATCACACACACAACATTCCAGAGGAGATAGCAAGGCCACCCGGCTCCCCGTGGATTGTTATCGGGTCCAGGAGGTGGCGGAGACGAAGAAGGGAGAGGAAGCAGAAGCGGGGTTGTAGGTCTGGTGTCGTGCTAAGGCTAAGATCACAGCCTCATAAGCCACCTCTACCAAGCCTCTATCTCTCTAACACAAAATCCCTGGTGCATAAAATGGATTACTTGGACTTAAACTCACTGGAAATCGCTATGTTCGTGACTGCTGTGTTCTGATTATCACCGAAACCTGGCTTCACCCTACGATACCCGATGCTAGCATGCAGCTAGCAGGCCGTACTCTGCTGCGCTGGGACAGGACTGTGGACTCCAGTATGAGCAGGGGCGGGGGGCTCTGTATTTACGTGCAGAGCCCCCCACCCCTGCTCATACTGGAGTCCACAGTATGAGCAGGGGTGGGGGGCTCTGTATTTACGTGCATGAGAACTGGTGCAATAATGGGACAATCATAGCCAAACACTGTTCCCCAGACATCGAGTACATGTCTGTGAGGTGCCGACCTTTCTTCCTATCGAGGGAGCTAACAGTAGTTATAGTCACTGCTGTGTATATACCACCAGATGCTAATGTAAACATGGCACTCTCCCTCCTGTTGAACACCGTACATGAACAACAGCGGCTGCACCCCGATGGGGTTCACATCCTTGCAGGAGATTTTAATAAGGCAAACCTAAAGACTGTACTCCCAAAATTTTACCAACATGTCAAGTGTTCTACTAGAGGGGAGACCACTCCGGATCATGTGTATTCAAATATCAAACATGCATACAGAGCCACCCCCCTCCACCACCTCGGGCAGTCAGACCATCTTTCCCTCCTGCTCTCCCCAGCTTACACCCCGCTCAGCCGCAGCACAAGGCCCATCATACAGACTGTTACATCCTGGACTGTAAATGCTCTCAGTGAACTACAGGACTGTTTTCAWAAAACTGACTGGGGCCTATTTGAACATCAGGAGCTGGAGAAGTTCACAGGAACAGTTCTGAACTACATCAAGTTGTACATCGGAAATGTAACGGAGGAAAAATCCATCCGGGTTTATCCAAACCAGAAACCCTAGATGACCAGCCATGTTCGCACACTCCTCAAAGCCCGTGATGCTGCCTTCAGGTCAGGTGACAGAGCTTTTTACCAAGCTGCCYGAGCCAGCCTGAAGAAAGGCATAAAATCTGCTAAGGCTGACCACAGGAGGAGCATAGAGTCCSATCTGTCCAGCAACAACTCACGGGAGGTGTGGAAGGGCACACAGAACATCGCTAATTTCAGAGGCTGTGATGTGACTACAGGAGACCAGAGTGCACAACTAGCAGAGGAGTTAAACGTCTTCTTTGCACGATTTGAAGCACCACAGCAGCACACCTCTGATCCAGTCCTGCCCCCTCCCCCACCTGGTTCCTGCGCCACGCATCTCACTGTAGGGGAGCATGATGTTAGACAGATGTTCCTAGTGGTGAATCCCAGGAAAGCTACTGGCCCAGATGGAGTACCTGGTAAGGTGCTCAGTGCTTGTGCCCCCCAGCTCGCCCTCATCTTCACCAAAATTTTCAACCTCTCCCTGGCCCAGGCAGTCATCCCAHCCTGTTTTAAATCAGCAACCATCATCCCTGTGCCGAAGAAATCCACCATAACCAGCCTGAATGATTATCGACMGGTGGCCCTTACTACGATAATCCTGAAATGCTTCGAGAGACTGGTTCTTCAGCACATCAAGGATTGTCTCCCTCCAAACTTCGACCCCCACCAGTTTGCATACCGGACAAATAGATCCACAGAAGATGCAATTGCAGTGGCTCTCCACACTGCACTGAGCCAGCTGGAACAGCAGCACAGCTACGTGCGAATGCTCTCTGTGGATTACAGCTCTGCTTTCAATACTATCATCCCAGACATTCTGATAACCAAACTCAAGAGTCTTGGCCTCCCCCCACCTGGATAAAAGACTTTCTCACCAACCGGCCCCAGGCTGTGAGACTTGGCCCCCACCTCTCCTCCACCCAGATGCTGAGCACTTGCTCCCCACAGGGCTGCGAACTGAGCCCCCTGCTGTACTGTCTCTATACCCACGACTGCAACCCGGCCCACAACAACAACTTCATCATCAGTCAAGTTTGCTGATGATACCACAGTGGTTGGATTCACATCTGAGGGAAACGAGGCAGCACACAGACAGGAGATCCTGGAGCTGACATCCTGGTGTTCAAAGAATWATCTGACCCTAAACACCCAAAAACAACAACAACAACAAAAACAAACAAAAAAAAACCCAAAAAAAAAAAAAACCAAGGAGGTCATTGTTGACCTCAGGAAAGTCAGCAGCAATCTGGCCCCGCTCTACACCAACGGCGAGTGTGTAGAGAGGGTCCATACTTTCCGGTTCCTGGGCATCCATATCACCGCTGACCTCACCTGGACTGAGCATACCACAGCTGTCATCAAGAAGGCTCAGCAGAGGCTACACTTCCTGAGAGTCCTGAGAGACTTGCTGCTGACCTTCTACACATCATCAATAGAGAGCCTGCTAACTGTTTCACAGTATGGTACAGAAGCTGCACCCTGGTGAACAGGGAAAGGTTCCAGAAAATAGTCAAGACAACTCAGAAGATCATTGGCTGTCCTCTCACCTCCATCTTGGACATTTACTCATCACGCTGCCTCAGTAGAGCTGAGCAGATCACCAAGGACAGCACCCACCCAGGCTCTGAACTGCTTGACTTGTTGCCCTCAGGAA